CTGGACTACCGTCTGTTATATTCTCACTCTGCTCAGCTGGACTACCGTCTGTTAAATTCTCCACCCGCTCAGCTGGACTATCATCTGTTAAATTATCAAACTGATCTTCGGGGATTCTCTCTTCTACTGCAGTCTGGTCTCCTGATACAGAATCAGCTATGGCATCACCTACAGCTTCTCCATCCAATGATGACTCGGCCATTCTCAGGCATCATAAATGCCAGCCACATGATCCAGTTCCTACTCCTTGATAATCCCACTACATCGCAAACAATCTAAGCCGAAGGTGTGAAAACATCCAAACAGCAAAAATTCCCAGCTTCAGTTCCTTGTTGTATGCTATCCTATCACAGTTCTTTGCTCCACAGTCTGAGTAAGAGATACACGTAAATTATAAATGAAGCTGGCAGTGTCTGAATTCATCTGAATTCAATCACTTACAATCATAAGCTCCGCTTTATGCACTGTCAGTGACAGGAAGTTATAGCAACTAAGGAAACAGCAAAGCAAGACCACCTGCCTTAGACCATAGACCATCAAATTTACACCTGCATGATAGACCTATCATACGATAATGAAAGATACCGATGCAAGCCGTTCATACAGTAGAGGAAATGGATTAATTTCCTTCTCTATTCCCTACCAGAATTTAATATAAAGACAGACTGGATGACGCAAGTCTTTAGTTTCATGTAGTGCATAGAGCTACAGAACCTGCAGCTTATTCATGAAGTCCAATGCAAACTGCAGTGAAGAGAAAGTGTCACTGCTTTGTGAAATAAAGAAGTGAATATTTTTCTCAAAAGAAACACCTGCTGAAATTACAATGACTGCAGTGAGAGGAGTGATACATTGTTTATCAGATTCCCACATGTCACTCTACAAAGTATTATACTCAGCTCATTGTACCTCGTGATTTCACTTAAACTGTATAATAACACAGGTACACTCCACATGTATAACTGAGGTCACAACACTAGTCCAAATTGACCATTTGATGCAATGTGAACTACATTAGCAGGTGAAATGGCTAAGCACCAATTTAAAAGGTGTAATTTCTTTTTGGTTTATTTTGTCAGACCTACATGTATTAATTCGTTGAATGTTGATACTTAGGAATGTATTATACCGGTACATGTACATGTATGTACTTGTGACAGGTATCACATAAATGTTTTTCATTTTAAAGCTTCCCCAACTAACTGTAGATAGATAGAAAATTTCATGCAATTTCATGCAACTGAACCAGTAACCACATGCTTTAGTCTCTCACTCCAGGTTCAAAGATCACAGCTGCTTAAACAGGTGCAAGTAAATTTAGCTGTGGTTAGTGACAAACCTCAAGTTGGTGCTACTGGTAGTTAGAGGTTATAGCTGTTCCATGTGCTCGTAGGTTGATTTAGTTGTAGTAAGTTAGTTAGTGACAGTGTGTGTAGATCAGAGGTTACCTCAGTTAGTGGCACACCGTGTCTATCAGCACCACCTAGTTACCAGAATCTGCAGCAATAGTTAGTGTCATTCCTTCACTTCAGGTCAAAGGTTAACTCAATCTATGCCATGTCTGACCTGTGCCTCCAGTCTCTTAATCTCTTCTGCTGATTGTTCTATTGACATCATCTTCTCTTTGTGCTTCTGCTCTTTACCAATCATAATTTGTAGTTCCCTAGCTAAGACATCTCTGTCTTTCTTGAGTTCATCAACGATGCCTTCTAGCTCTTTAATGGTTTCTCTATGTCGATCAGCTTGGTTAGAAAGACCTTTCTCCTGCTGAAGTTGTTCCTTCAAAGTCTGAGTTTCACCCCTTGCATCCTCCAGTTGCTGTTTTATTTTATTACAAAATGATTACTTTTCATTGCAGATGTTGCATAATGTGTAAGAGTGTCTTAATATTTCACGATGTACTTTGTGTTGGGAAGAAGTTAATGTTAATTATGGCTTTTGTCTTACACCGACATATATTCATATCACAGGATACCCAGTACTTGTCTGAGAGCCTGTGAAAAATTCACAAGCTACATATGACTTGGACTCACCAGCCCACCCTGGCAAGCTCAGTGGTCGAGTGGTTAAGATGTCTGCACTAGTAAGCAGGAGGTTGTGGGTTCGAGTCCCACCCGAGTAGCTTGCAAAGTTTCCACAAGCTCTAACAAGTACCAAGCATACAGTGCCAGGAATACAAGTTGGTATAAATCCTAATATTTCTGTGCAAGATTTCTGTCTTAATGCTTCCTTTCTGTTGTGTGAACAACTCTTCATCTTCTAACCTGCATATCAAATTCTAATCCACATTTCTTTGCATCAATTCAGTCCTTTACAAGGAGAAAGAGAAATATCAACCTTATCATGCTCTTGTTGAATCTGGTGCATTCGTTGATGGTTTGCCTCTAGCTCTGACTTGGAGAAGTCAAGATCTCTTGTCAACTTGTCCAACTGAAACACAGAAATTTCTTTGTATTAAAAACAAAATGCATCAATTAACATGGTGAATACAAATTCCAGATCAAAGAATTCTTATGCCTCCCAAACATGTACATGTTTCATTCTGAACAGTATTGGTACCCAGAACGACAATAGTTTCCTGTCCTGCACTGTATACATGTATAACACAAACTGACATTACAAGTATACAGGTAGATCCTTATCATCCCCGTGACCCCACGCATGCAATGAATGGAACTGGACTGCTTCAGAGTGGTGTTAATAACTACACAGTGCTTCCTTTGATTCCAACCACAATGACAGAATTCAGATTCTTTATCAAGTTCTTATCAACAACAGTTATCCTGGAAGTTGTGGTACAGGTAGCTCTCAGCACCACCAATCAATTGTATCGATAGACTGAGTCCCACTTGCTCACTTTTCTCGTAAATTTCAAGCCACAAACTTTGCATTGTAGTGCTTGGCATTTTCATCAGACAGACACCTCCTCTAGCAACTGCAGTCCTGAACATGATCAGCACGTCTGCCTACATCACGTGGACCATGTCATGCTTCCCCAGACCTTTACTTTCAATCATCTGTCCTACCTTGTTAGCCAGGTCTTTCTCATTGTTCTTGTATCTCTGAACAATCTGCTCCCATTTTTCTTCCGTAGATGTCAGCTTCTCCCCTAACTCCAGACATTTTCTTCTCTCTGTTTCCAAGGAAACCATTGTTCGTTGCAGCTTCAATGCTTGTTGCTCTTTTTCTTCTCGTAAGCTTTTGATCTCACTCTCCTGTCGTTCAATGATGGTTTGTTCTGATTTCAGGGAAGTCTGCAATATAACATTAAAAACAAACTACATGTACTCCCAACAAACAATTTGGGTCAGTCTTTGTTAATTTTAGATTTCTACATTTTAACAAGTGATACTCATCAAGTGAACTTACAGTTTGATTACGAAGGCTCCTTTCTTGTTCTTTTAGCTCTTGCAAATCTTTCTCCAAGAAGCCAATGCGCATCTGCAGGGCAGACTTCTCCTCAGATAACGTTTGCTTCTCATCCTGTTAATGTAATTTTTTAGAAATTGTCAGTGTTATCGTTACAGTCTATTGATATCCACAGTCAAGTTCAATGTGGAATATTGCTAATCCAGTCACTTATTTTGTTTTAGATCTCTCTAAAATGACATTTCTTCCCACAGATTCTAAAATGCATCAGCATTTTAGACTTCAAATTAATCAAGACATGCATGGGTCGCGCATTATTGAAAGAAATTTGGATCAACACGCATGCAAGTTTAGAACATTTGCATGCAGTGCGTATGCACTTGGCTTGTATACACAGTTGCAATTTTCTGACAAAGATGGCGTCTTTTGAGAGAGATCTATAAGATCCATCCACCATCATTTGAAGCTCACCTCAAGACTAGTGACAAGTTTCTTATTCCTGTCAACTACTGATTTTAGTTTGATGATAGTTCCCTCATACGATGATCGACGTTTCTTCTCTGTATCCAGAGACTCTGTGAGCTCTTTCACCTTTAAAATACAAACCAATAAATACACTAAAGTGAAACGTCAAATGAGAATCTGTACGCTACATGCATACATGTATCTATAGCTACATGTATGAAAAGGAGCACCATCATAGGCCATACATAACAGCCATGCTTAATCAAAATGACTGGAAAGGACAAAGTCTAAGTTTAACCAGTGACATTGGCAGACTGAATGACTGTGTAAAGCCTATCAAACCATCCAAGTACCCTGTCTATGTACATGTATGCATTTCCTCTTTGAACATACGTAAAACAATATGAAGTGGTTTAGAATCCTGTGTTAACTTTAATAAACAAGTACCTAGCGTAAGAGGTGAATACCATGGTAAGCCATACTCACATCTGAACAGCATTCAGATGAAAATTCTTGATACACTGTACATAAAATTCTTTACCAAGTCATTTCTAAGTTATGATGACTAGGACACACACTACGGTAGCTCTGGTTCATGCAACAGGTACTGCAGGTAAGACTATGATACAAATCCCCTAAGCACTAAGCTCACACTGCAACGCTAGGGTTGGTATTAAAACGTGTAGGCACTTACTACACCTTAGCACACCCCTATTCAAATACAAACAGTAAACATGAGTCCCTTTATCACAAACAATCCATCAGTCTACCCTCTTGTTGTAATTCAGATCCCTGGAGGTAAAGTTACCCCACTCATATAATGGAAGCACCCATGCAGTAAATGTAGGGTAACAAGTGGTTGTGCACAAAACAAAAATAAAAAGTTGGAATGTTCAATAAGTTTGAAAGGATAAAGCTAGAAGGCTGTGATCCTTTTATATCAGTCCTGGTAGGGATTACTGATGATTTCCTTTATGACTAGGGCTAGGTTGAGATTTGTCAAACCTTAAAAGTTTAATCCACCTTACAAAGTTAAAGGTTGGCTGTGCTTCACAAGAAGAGCTTTTAACAGATCCCAACAACAAAAAACATTACAGGCAAACTAAGCTACAGGTAGAGCATTTCTTTCATAGTCACACAATCTTTTCAGTGAAGGACTGTCCAATTGGACATTTCCTATTTAATTTGGCTTATTGTGATGATCACCAGTGATACCAAATATAGAAACATTTGAATTGAATTCATTCTACCACTCTGCACCCCCCCGTTACACTGTTACCATAGATACCTGATGAAACATACCAAGGGTGAGATGGGAGGAAAATAAAATATCCATGAACCAATTTACCAGAGGTTCACAGGGTTCCACAACAGCGTAGGGTCATACATTTGTGTTGCCTAAATACCCATTTCACGTTAATGAAAAAATCTGAAATTGGGCATCATCTGATACAGTGATCTCATCTAACATATACTGTATGTACACATACATGTACCTGTATCAATCATGATTTTAGTTAAAGTTTGCTGTAACACAATCCTGATCAACAACAATATTTGATCAGACCAATGAGACTTTCCAATTTTAATTACATGCAAGTCTCTTTTCATCTAGAAATAGCCTTCAGCTGCAATGGTCAACATCTCTAAGGTTGCTTCACCTCCTGTACAAAGCCCAATGCCCAGCTTTATCAGAAGCTAATGGGCCAAAAGGAAGCCCTTCAATTGCAAGGCTTGCAGGTTTTTTCAGCAGATCAGATGAAGCAACTTTTACAACCAGCGAAATTTTTTCTACTGTCACAAATGTAAAAGCTTTTACTGCCCTTCTCTCCAGTGTGTTTTCCTTGAGTTCCTTCAGCAAAACCTAATTAACTGTTCTCCTGACGTATCAACAGAGGGCAGCACACACAACTGCAGGGTGTCGTTATTGCCTACTGTCATTCTTTTGCTACATTTGTGACTACAGGTGTTGAGTTGGGCTGAAGACTGTATACTAATGACTATACGAGCCAATCATGATCTGTTTGTGGCATCACCTTTTTCAGCTAATTACTTACGACACAGATACAAATCACAGATCAGCTTGAGGATTAACTATTTAAACCAAAACGTGTTTGCCACTAAAATAAAATAGCATAAACTGTGTCAAGACAAAACTGAATTATTAGAAAATCTTCAGAATCAAAGAGCAACTGTAACCATACCTGCTTCTTGTAAAAGGACATATTTCCTTCCATAAATGACTTCAAAATATCAAGCATCTATGGACTGACAGCAACTTGAACAATAGGCAGGAAATTATCCAGCACACAACTCTTCCTCATTGGTTAAACAAGAGATAATTAACAGACTGATAAAGACAGCTAACAAAGAAATGAGCAGACTGTTCACTTCAATGCCTGGAAAACCGTTAGGTTTTTTCATTGTTACACTGTACATGGAGTTACATAGCCTAGTGATGGGCAGCCTTGCCCTTTTTGATCCAATCAATACCATGAGCCAGCTTCTGAATGAAGGGTTATTATGAGTTCCATCACTAGACATAATGGGGTTTACAGAGGGGTGAAAGCCTCTGACACTATAATAACACAAGGCATGAGATGAAGATGCTGACTGGGAAGCCAGAGGCATGTCAAAGGTCAATAGCTGTTGTGCTTAAGGTGATTAGCTGTTCTTCTGACCCTTAAGTCATTTATTAGGTCAAATTCTTGACACCTCTTACAGTGTATCTACATGTATATCGAGGTGTCTTCCCACACAGTATGCATGATTCAATCTTATGTTGTAACAACCTACAAGTAACCTTGTAAAAAAAAAGATGTGAAATGATACCAAAAATAAACAAAACAATCCACAGGAAACAGGGAAAGACTTTAAACTACTTACAGCAACAGTTTCATATAAGAATTTTACACTAATACTTGCTAGGAAAAATTCCATCTTTGAGGATACTGGGGTAACACTGTAAAAAACTGAGCAACTCACACGTTGGTTGAGTTTGTGTTTATCCTCCTCCCCTGTCTTGAGACGATACTTTGTTGTTGATAACTCCATCTCCAGTTTCTTCTTAGCTTCTCTTAACTGCGATAACTCAGACTGATTTAGGTCCCGTGGAGAACCTGAAAAATATTTTTTAAATCCCTGAATATATACCCAAGAAGGTTTAATATTTTTTAAACCTCTACATTAATTATTTTGTCTTCCTATTTAAACTTACAGTTATGCACCATTAAGTTACCTCAAAATCAAAAATTCACCTAAAAAAAAAATTTCACTTTTAGAATTTCTCACAAACTGTCACTACCAAAATCAATGCCTTAAAGGTTATTTTGGAAGTACAATGCTCTTGAAAAACACAATTTTTCATTAGAAATATCCCTCCATTTAACTACGGATACCTTTGTTAAAGTTTCCACTGTTTGGGCGACGCAATTCTTGTAACTGAAGTGCCAATTTCTTAGAAACTGCATCTTTATCCATGGTAAACATTAGACAATCACCTCCTGACTTCAAAACAATCCTGTCATTTGCTCGTTTGACGTTTTGGAGTGATGTACCTTTACATATGAGCCTACTGTACTGTCGTTTATGTTGGTTTGATGTTAACCCACAGTGCATAACAGTTGACTGCCAAGAGTCAAGTCATAAACACATAAAATAAGAAGCATTTTAGAACCCACCATTTTATAATAATGTCAAAGTCCAATTTGTTGTCAAGGCAACACTAATGATTGATTCACCAGTACATAAATTTATAGTTTTGAAATGTTTATCTTTCTACATTATCACAATGCTCAAGTGCATTGAATAAGAACTGTTTGTTCACTCAAACTGTCATTTGTTTACAAAGCTGTCAAGCTCTTTGCACAGATTTGTTTATTTTACCTACAGTGGCTCAAGGCTCAACAATGACTTACTTCATATAAATGTATATATAAAACACAAATTACTTATCTGGCTGTGGTTCATTTTTTATAGGAATATCTTTGTTTTGCTTTTATTTCATATCACTGTATAAAATTTACCCTAAAATATTTAATTTTTATGTAAAATGTGGTCAATGTATACAAACACAACAGGGGTTATCCAGTCTACTGGAAGACGAACATTTCAGACCTTCATACATGTACATGTGGCTAGCTCAATGACAATTCAACTGATGAAGCAATGGTACATGTTTTTTGTTTTCCATTTACTTACCAGTTCATCTACTGTACCTCCAGGTCAGACTGGCATTGATAATCACACATAACATTCATCCCAATTACAGTCATCCACTTGTCCCATCTTCCATTTAATAACTAAATATTTCTAGTGTGTGGTGTTCAAGCCATATCCATCAAGGATACACTGTCTAATGTAATTCAGAATATTGACCATCAACTGCATGGTGCGGGTTAATGGACTTCTTGACTAATTCACCATACAATTCATGTCTTAATTAGATGGCCAACGTATTCCATCATAATTATATGAATGGAAAGCCGCCCTGTTGCACCTTTTGCGTTTTTTATGCCAGTCCACTCAAGCAGAAACTGCCAATCCATTGTCTGTGTGATCATAATCACACACACGTACCTGTATGCTGTTCAACCACTACAAGCAGTATACACAAAACACAAGTCCAAATTCAGTACAAAATGTGCACTCATAAATTTCAAGTCAACAACATAACATGACATTTTTAAAAGTCTAAATCAATGGCAAACACTCCAAACCAAGCCATTTCTTTCAAGAAATAAACACTGTAAAGTCATCAAAATTACATTTCTATGAAAGCATGCATTCTCACATTTGAATTGTTCCATCTTTTCTTTTAGTTGTTTTCATTACTATTATTTTGACAAATCAATATCCAAACGGTTTGCTACAAACAAAGGAATCTAAACCAGCATCTGACCTGGGAGCTGCTGTTGCAGTTTCTCTACTTCCTCCCTCCGTTCTTTCTTCTCTCTTTCCAATGATTTCTTGAGTCTGTCCATCTCAAACTCGAGGTCTCTGGTTTTTTGGTGGTGATGTCTGGCTTCCTGCTCTAAGCGACGTTTCTGTGACTCCAAGCTTGTTATTTTCAGCTTGCTATCCTGATAAGACAAAGAGGCAGATTTTGAAATGTCACAAACCCAAAACAATACAAAAGAAGACAAATTTGGGATGAAAGCTGATTGATATTTTCAGGAAACCTTAGAACCATGACAACAGCAAACCAAACAATGGAAATATATAAAACTGCAAGAACATGTACATGTATGTTTACATACATGTACCTGGTGGGCTGTTAGAATTTAGACCTTCATGTAGTTTTTCAAGAGGTGTACGTGTTAATCGATTACATTTGTAACTCACCGCTTTGACTTTGTTAAGCTCTTTAGCATATATCTGTAAGCCAGCAAACACAGAAGTGCACAGCATAGGTCACAAGGTCACAGGGCAAAGGTCAGAACATGCAAGGCAATGGTTTTAAACAGACATGCAAAGAAAAAGTTAAGTGCATAGCAGCAATGCCAGTTAAAGAAAGTCACTGGCATCATTTTGCATTTAAGGATTAATTAAATTTGTCTTAAAAAATTAAAATGCTGAACACCTTAATAGCTCACAGACACTTTGAACACAACAAAGTGTCAGAGTGTTAATTTTCCAAAGTACATTCCACAAATGTGTCAAGGTGATGGTTACATAGAGAATGGGAAATTGAAAGTGATTTTGAAGAAAGACATAAATAACAAAATATCAGTAACAATGCTTGTGGTTACAGTACACACACCAATTGATTAAAATGTGTAGGTGATTAAAAACCTAGGTTTTATATGTGATTTACCTGTTCAATACTATCTTTCATCTTTCTGACTTTCTCCCTCTCTGTTCGCATTTCTTCTTCCATTATTTTCCTTTCTTTATCAAGAACCTCTTGGACCTTAGTGACATGTAAGACAACAAAAACTTAAGTCAACAAAATGCTATCTACCCAGAATATAACTAAGGTAGTCAATCAATGCTTTACCACCTTACATTGTACTATACATGTACTTAGCATGCAAAAAAAACACAAGAGCTTCAGCATCAATCCACATGAATGTTGAATTGGCTTCAATACAGGGTCGTTGTGATTAAAATAAAGTGTCATCAAATGAGGCCCCTTAACCCTGCTGCACTTCTCTTCTACATGATACAGAGACAGAAGTGTGTTCAAAGTATGTTCACTGATGAAGACAATGACAAAATCTCTGCTCCTCATAAAAAATGTAAATTATCAAAGTGACTTCGTGAAATCAGAAAGAATTTCAACTTCACAAAATGCATTTTAAAATTGTCCTGAATGCCAAATAGGGTATTTCAACTACTGTGCAATCATTTTCCCACACAGCTCAGTGTGCAAACATGTTTGTGCAAGTTTTCATTGACTGGCTTTTTATATTTGAACTTTGCAAATGGCAACAGCAAGACTAGTTCACATTTAGTGTCAGCACAATTTCTTTACAAAGTAAACAATTTAGTGTTTTGTAAATGACACTTGCAGCCTTATCTGAGTGGAATGTAAATTCAGCAGATTGGAATTTGACACCATTGGGTTAATTTCAACATCAACTACAGATCAGACACTGAAGCACCAACTGTGCACTCTGACAGGTGTAACTGTAACAGGTGTATAGTGAGTGTATCTGGGAGTGTATGACGTGTGTACATGTACATTAGCCAGCCTCGCACTCAATGGTTACCCATAGCATGCAAGTTGGATAACCATCACAGTCTACAATGTATATGTAGATAACATTGCCAGTCAATGTTTCTAAATTCAGAGAGACAACTCCCTCAGTTCAAAACAAAAAGACATCAATACATGTAACTACATGTATTCTTTCCAAAATGACGGACGAAAAATCACAAAAATTACCTTTTTTTAACTACAAATCAGCAGGCAGCTCAAGATACAAAAAAAATTTCAGAATCTAAGGGCATCATATGATTTACTAAAGCAAAGCAAAGATGAAGAGAAAAAAATAAAGATGTCTAAATATTTAATATATTCATACCAGTATTTAACCCTTGAAAGCCGGTCAAAACTGCCCTATCAACATTATTTCTGATATCGAACCAAGCCTTAAAGCATTTTTTTAGTAACTCTTTGCAGTCATTTTGACACCGACCTTGTGAAAACTGGAGAAATAATTCTCCAGGACAGATCAGCCAAAAATGTATATTTTCCACTGCCATGCTCAGTGCATACCGGCTGGCTTGCATGTTGCCTTCAATTTTAAATGACAATAAAACCTTACAGGTCAGTTAGATTGAATTTAAACAACACATTTTTGTCAGGAGTGTTTTTGGTACAAGCCAAATTTTTAAAAACATGGGCATAAAACAGCCAAGTTCTTTGGGGAAGTGGAATTCCCCAGCTAGGAGATGGCCTAAAATAACCTGTCTCTTTAGAGTTAAAGAGCCTTTTTGTCCACTTTGAGTCCCCTTCTTGTCCACTTTGAGTCCCCTTCTTGTCCACTTTGAGTCCCCTTCTTGTCCACTTTGAGTCCCCTTCTTGTCCACTTTGAGTCCCCTT